GTGCCGCTTTGTTAGAGCAGCAGCACTGAATAAGCTCGGAATATGAAGCGTCAGTAATTGTGCAACACTGAAGGCTGCTGTGTCGGCAGTGACGAGCAGCTCTGTTCGCCTGACGGCGGGGACCGTGCTGGTGAGGGAGGGCTGTGCTCGATGGATGGCCGGAGAGGTGGCGCTGTAGGACCAGAACTCTCGGGAGCCCCCGTGGAGTTCGGTTATTTCGCACCAGGGGGAAGGGGGGACGATCCCGTTGTACGGTGCGAGGCGCCGCGCTTTTGCAGAGCTCCGTAGGACAGCTATTGCGGATTCCAGCGGGTTTCTGGTGAGTGATTAGGTTGCTGCTGCCGGCAGGCTTTCTAAATTCTTCATTAAGGCCTTTCTGCTGCCTGCAATGGCAGTTTCATCCTCTCAGAAACTTGGGAGGGGGTAGGTTTGTCGTTAATAACTTGTTTCCTAGCGAAAACTGAACTGAATGTGGAGCGAGGCTAGAATTAACCAGTTTGTTTCCTCGGAAATCTCTTAGGCTTGGAAGTTGCTGTGCCTTAAGGGCCGTAGAGTTTGCAAGGTGACTGGGTGCCCTGGTCTCTTTGTAAGGCCCCTCTTAGAGAGAATATCTGCGTGGCTCCCGTTGCGAGGGCGGCTGTCTCTGCTGCTAGGGTGACGGTGTTTCCCTTCCCCTGCCAAGCTAATCTCGCTCTCCTCTCTGCCCACAGCGTCTGCCACTACAGCCGCCTCTTCTGGGAGTGGGGGGAAGGTGTCAAAGTGCACGACACCCAGAAGAGGCAAGATCCAGAGAAGCTGTCGAAGGAGGATGTCCTGTCCTTCATCCAAGCGCACTACCCCTAACCCTGCTCTCTTGAGGGGTGCAGGTTTTTTTTGGGGGGCGCTGAGCCCAGCTTGGATTCTTCAGGGACTGACGAGACTGGGGAAGCTCCACAACTTCTATCCTGGTCTTCTCCAGAGCTGGGATTTCCTGGAGGGGCTGGAACCAGGGGGTGGTATGCAGAGGGCCCAGGACGAGGCTCTGCCCTGGCAGTGTATATAGGAATACGGCCCAGGTAGCGCCCGCTGCCGGAGTACCCATGGGGACTCCTGGAGCCACGGCCTGACACCTTTCTGTCCTGACCAACTGCCTGCCACGAGGCCAAGGGGCTGGCAGCTCGCTTTGCTCCCGCTCAGACGTTCGGCGAGGTTTGTGGGGCTCTGTGTGTGCCAGAACTCTCCAGGCTTGCGCTTCCCCGGCAGCGTGGGAAGGAGCAGGGATGTCTCGGTGGCAGAGCTGGGAGGGAAGCGCAAAGAAGTGGCTCTGCGTCGTTCCTGGCGGCTGTCTGTCCCCTCAACCTTGCCCAAGGCCTACACTAGCCGGTGGAGAGCGTTAACTCATTGGGGAACGCTAGCTTTGGGACACAGATGTGTCTTCTTGCTGGTGTCTCCAACACTGCTGCTTACCGAGGCCCGTGGCTGGCCAGTGGCAGTTCCCGTGTGATGGGATCCTGTTGGACAAAGGCCACCGCAGGTGTTGAGTAGAGTTCCTGGCGCAGACTTGTTGGGCTCAGTGCCAGGGATTTCTCAGACCTCTCGAAGCTGCCGTGACGAGGATTTCCCCTCTCCACCTCAGTGGCTGACCCTGAGCCAGCAGCCTGGGGCTAGTTTGTGAACGTGACTCTGCCTCGTGGTACTTCTGAGACCAAGGTGCTTTGATTCTTGGTACTCAACGCTTACCCAGATCTTCAGGGAGGAAAGCAAATGTGGGAGGGAAGACACAGGAAGGCTGGGATGCTGGAGGTCTTTGGAGGAAAGGATGGGAACGTCTGACTAGGTTGAAAACAGGGCTTCAGTGAAAAGAGTTCTCGACTTTGACCACGTTGGTTAACCAGAAATCCTGTCCCCTGACTGCGCCCACCAGAAAGGTTACCAGACTTTCCTTTTCAAATGCCAGTGGGCTTTGAAACCCTCCACGTCTCGTTTGGCCCTGGAACCGCGTCTGGGGTGAAGGCACAGCGCTGTCAAACAGCACAGCAGTTGTGTGTCAGAGACTCCTCCCTGCCCTTCCTTCCGCGCCGGGCTCGCAGTTGTCGTCTTTGCATGTTCTACCTTCACTTCTGGCTTCCACGGCGCTTTTGTGCCAGGTCTTCCACGTAAATCAGAAGATAACACACAGCTGACTGCTTTTGGTCAAGCAGCAAAATTACCCCCTCTTTCGTTCTGGTTTGTTTTGTTTGTTCTTGGCTTGTTTTTAAACAGGTTGGCAGTAGGGAGGAAACTGATGTCGGGGTTGTCTGAACTGTGCCTTAAAGAAAGCTATAGTTCTTGTAGAACCTATAGCAGGTTTTTAGATTCTTGTTTCTTTCTCTCCCCACCCATCTATATGATTTGAACAAGCTTTATGTAGCAAGACGAGGCAGTTTTCACTGGCAGGGCGTATAGGAGCACGGGTGCCCTGCGCCCCACCCGGAGGAGCCAGAACAAGGATGGCCCGTGGTAGAAGTCCCACCTCCGCCCTCTCGGGCCCAGCGTCACGTGTAGGTGTGGCTCGTTCTGGGCACGCAGTCGAATGTCTGTGCTCTCTGAGCTGGGAGTGCTTCCACGTCTTCACAAGCAAATGATCTCCGTGTAGCTGTGTTAATTCTCTACGGTTTGGTGCAAATGAGCGTGACAACTGCAGCTCCTTGCACCGGGGGAGAAAACCTGCGGGCGTGATGCCTGAAGGAGCAGCCCGACACGTCTGTTGGGTGGGTGGAACCTGGAGGAGGCAAAGCTTGGGAGTGGGTGGGAGGTGAGCTGACAAACGGGGGGGGTCCTGAGTCGTGGGGGGCAGCTGTCCGGCTGCTTCTCCAGCTCTGGCACGCGGTGATGTGGGTCAGAGCTGCCTTTCCCACCTGGGTGTCCGTCCCAGGCACAGGCGGCTCCACCAAAGCAGCTGAGGGCCTGCGTGCTGTCCGTGCATCCCCGGGCTGGCCTGTCGACACCCGCTGCTCTCAAGCACCAGTCGAACGTGTACGAAAAGAAAGGGTTGGCCCTTCCTCCCCCCAGAAGAGGAGGCAGTTGAGTTTTGGTGAAGGCACTTCCCTGGGGGATGAGGAGGAATCTTTCCCAGCGGCCAAGGAAGAACCCCCCCAGCTGCCTGGTTGCCAGGCCTGTGGGCCGTTGGCGTTTTAAACCGACCAGTCATTCGGGTTCTGGCGCTCCTTGGGACGGCCCCGGGGCCGTTCCCGTGCCAGCAAAGCGTGCTGCTCCCTCCGCTCGGGGCTCTGCTCTCCTGCGGGCTGGCAGAGCAAGGGGTGACTAGAAGCCCAGCGGGGTGAGGGCAGGCCCCCGAGGGTACGGCAGCCCCCTGCTCAGCCTGCAGGCTCGCTTTTGCGAACGGATACTTTCTGTTCACCCAGTTGCCTCCAGCTCCTCCCTGAGGAAGGGCTCGCTGAAGGGAACGTTTGTGTACGTGAATTGCACAATGTATTGCTGGCTGCGTATCATTTTGTGTTGACTTCTCTGCTTTCACCGTCTCGATGACCAATACAGCCCCTTTAGTTCACAACGGCGTTCGTTTCCTTCGCTTCCCACCACGTTCTGGCCGGCAGCGGGTTCGTGAGGAGGCAGAACGTGCCCTGGAAGGGCTCGCTGAAGGGAACGTTTGTGTACGTGAATTGCACAATGTATTGCTGGCTGCGTATCATTTTGTGTTGACTTCTCTGCTTTCACCGTCTCGATGACCAATACAGCCCCTTTAGTTCACAACGGCGTTCGTTTCCTTCGCTTCCCACCACGTTCTGGCCGGCAGCGGGTTCGTGAGGAGGCAGAACGTGCCCTGCTAAAGCTGAGTTAGGGCACCCTCGGGGCTGCCTCGTGTATGGCAGTGGGTCACAGCCAGGGGACTAGAGGGGACAGGCTCCAGCACCCCTCTGCAGCATGCTGGGCTGCTTTCCCGCTCGAAGGGAGCAAACAGTCAGGTGCATTTCAGGCCACAACCAACCAAGAACCCCGTGGTGAGACCTCGCTGCCCAGGGATGTCAAATGCCTAACCCAGTCTAGGCTTGCTGGGTGCAGTGGGGAGATGGTAGGGTGAGGCTAAAGCGGTGGCTGTGAGAGGTGTGTTAGGAAAACAACAACAAAAAAAGAAACCCAGGCACTTACAAGGTCAAATTACTTTATTTAAAGCCCTGCAGAGGCAGGTCCAGCCCTGGGAGCTGACAGTAAATTCTCCGCTGCAAGTGTTGACTCTCAGAGGCACAAAATGGCTACTGAGCCCTGATGCACTGGAGAGGGAGGGAGGTCTCAAAGCCCAAGCCCCCAGCTCTCAAGTTAGATGCTGCCTGCTTGCAGAAAAAAAGAGATCCCTGCTTCCCCTCTGGTTTTGCGGAGGTAGGCTTCCTTGGGTCCTGTAAGTCAGCGGGGAGGAGGAAACATCTTTGTTTAGCTCAGCTCTGGGAAGAGAGGGAGCCTTTAGGTCATGACACCCGAGTTACCCTTTGATTCAAAGAGCTTGGTGTCCCTTCAGCTGATGGCTGAGGCGCAGGAACCAAGAAGGCAGCGTGTATTCCAGCTGGGCCGGGCAGAGAGCAACCCCCGAGGTCCTCAGCAAAAGGGAGAAGAGATTCCCTTCCTGCGTCAGGCTGGATGGTCCTGACTGTGTTTTGGGTAAGACAGCACCACCTCCAGCCCTGCTTGACCTCATTTCCAGCTGCAAGCGTGCTGTGACGTCTGGTTTGTCTCCTGTCCCCCTCAATTCTCAGAGACCAAACTTCCCTACAACGAGGCTGGACAAGGATAAACAGGAACAGCCATTTGAAATGCTGGTCCTCCCCCCTGGGGGGAGGCACAGTGGTGGGAGGAGGACGAGCTCCTCGCAGGAGGGTCATCTGGTCAGCAGGGAGAGTTCTTGAGCGCAATCACATCGTCCAGCAGGCGTAAATAAGAGCAATCAGCAACCCCATGGCCACAGCAAGGGCAGCGTTCTGGCGGTTTTCCTTACGAAGCACCCTCAGTTCTTTCTCTGGAAAACACACAAAGCCTTACCTGTCCCTGGTCCTCATGGGGCAGCTTCACCTCCTTTCAAAACTGTCTTAAAAGCACAAGGCTACCACGGGCAACTCCTCTGGGATCAGTGTGCAAAGGTGCTAAGTGGAAGATGGGCTGAAGGGGAAGTAAAACTAGCAGGAACCCTTTCATCCTGCCCATCCCCTCAGCTGGGCTGGGGGATACTTCGGTGCCAGACCAGTTCCTGGCTGCAAGTGACTGTGTTCTAGGCCTCTACTAAGGCCAGAAGGGGTCCTGAGAATCATTGCTTGTTCCCCACGAGAATGAAGAAGAGGGAGGGTGGAGAGGTATTTCTACTGTCTTCCAGATGTAGTAGCCTGGGGCCGCTTCCCAGTGCTTAAGGTTACTGAACTACGACTGTGGCCACCTTTGGATGTTGCAGAATCTGGGCTTCCTCGCGCCCCAGGAGGATGAGTGTGGAACAGGTCTGAGGCTGGACACTCGTTCTGGTGGGGTCTGCAGCTTTTTAAGACCCTGTCCCTGGTTTACAAAAGAAGAAAGCTGCAGCGAGAGGAAGGAAGGGGATGCCAAAAGGATGGAGTCCCAGGGACCTCCAGTTCTGCTCTGGGCCCTTTACCGAACCCCGTTCTCGCTGCCTCTGTTCCACAAGGCTTGGCTGGATGGGACAGGCAAGAGGTGAGGCCTACAGCATCCCAGGGCCACCCAGCAGTGATTATTTTGCAGGGCAAGGCTGAGTACAGACTGGCTCCAGGGCCCATGACCTGCGTTACTGCCTCTCCAGTCTGCACCAGCAGCCTCCAGCAGGAACGCCCTGGTGCTGGTATCAAAGGAGGCTTTTTAGCTGGTTTTTGTGCCCCTCGTTCTTCGCGTGGTACAAACGTTTTCATGCAACCACGGAGCAAACTGCTTGAATCTGCAGAACTACAGAGGAGGTGGCAGGGCAGGAGGTCACATAACCCCGAGCGCAGCAGCGCCGTTGTCAGCAACTGCAGCTCGTGGCCTCGAGCGTGTCAGCTGGAACAAGCAGAGATTTCACCAGAGGCCAGAGCAGGGATCTAAAAAGACTCTGTGCTCATGCCCCGTCTGCTCTGCTCCAGGAGGAGCAGCCACCCCCGTTAGGGGAGGCTCTTGCTGCTGCCAGGCAGCCCGTCAGGTTGATGGGTTGGCGCCGGCAAGAGGGGGGCAGCGCTGTTCTGCCGTCCCTAGCGGGAGGCCCTTAGGGAACAGCTTTGAATCTGTTTAAAATAACCGTTAAGTCTTCTCAAAACAGTCCTTTAGCGCCAGTTAAAATTCCAAATTTGCTGGCCATACCCCCCAGCTTTCAACTCTCCGGGCCTAAAAGGACGCTTGTGCTGCTTCCCTTTGTGTGAGCTGTGGTGCCTGCGCTGCCACAGAGGGCTGTCAAGCAGTTAACGCACTTATCAACCCCAGGAGCCTCAAGACATGCTAAGCAGCATCCCCAGCGGAGGGGAAGCGCTGTCAAATGCGCGTTAGCTCAGAGGAACTCTCGTTTTAACTGTCTGCAGCAGGGCTGGCAGCAAGGAGAGACCCTGGCGCTCTGGAATTGCAGGCAGCACAGCAGTCTCACCAGAATCCCTACGCTCGTGTGCTGAACAGCCCCAGAAACTGATGCAGTGAGAATCCTCCCCAAGGAAGGTACGCTTTGCTGCACTCCAGATAGCACTTGCCAGTCTGCTTAGCAAGCCTCTCTTAAAAAAAGGAGAAAGGGAAAAAAAAAGGAAGGGAGGAGGGCAGGGGGCTGATGTTAAAAGCTGCTGAAGTCAATCTGTTGGCTAAAATAATCTAAAGACTGGTAATTTGGGGTGTGTGAAAGGGACATCTTTCCCCCCCTCGTATTTTTGCCCCTATGGTAGCGCAGCTCGGGCGGGAGGATCCACACTCCTAATACGCTGCCTGGATTTCCCTCAGTCTCGCTCCCTTTGCTAGAGCCTAAATTCAAAGGCAGAAGTCAGAGGTGGCAGGAGCTTGGAGACGAAGCTCAGCCGCAGAGCACCGAGCCCATCCAGCCCAGAGGGACCGTTTTTAATGAAGCTCTTACCATAGTTGTCAGCTTTGGTCATTAGCAAGTCTCTCTCTCTCTCCAGTGACTTTCTGTAATGAGAAGAGGAGTTCATTAGCAGTGAGGCACAACACAGCCCTACTTCTTTGCTTGTGTGATGGAAGAGAGACTGTCCCACTGCCAGGGACAGCTGCTCCCCAGGAAGCCCCTCGCCCTTCCCTGCGGAGAGGGCACAGTTTAGAAACCCCCAGCTGTGCAAGAGGAGAGACAGCAGCGGGTTTAGGGTATTTTTGCCTTCCCCCAAACTGCTTCACATCTCCCCTTTCAGGACAGCGTCAGTGTCCAAAAGCAGGCTAGAAAGGGGTCTGTGTGCCAGCCAGCCCCCCTACTCTGCCCCCCCCCGGGGCAGGTAGGACATTCTGCCGTGGCTATGGGGTGGGGCAGGGTTCCTACACACTCTCTGCAGGATCCTGCCCCTCCAGCCCCTCTGGCTCCGGGCTGGAATGCCAATTCTTGTCACCCAGTGAGGCTGGATCCCTTTGTCAGAGGTGTCCCATCGACACAAATCGGTCAACTCAAGCAAACGAGCTGAATCCAAGCTCGGTAACAACCAGTTAAACCCCCTGTTACTAGACTGGGAACTCAGTACAGTAACAGCAAAGAGTAAGTCAGGCCAACCCAGCCCTTGTCCTAAACTGCACAAGGTGATGTGGTCTTCTATGCTGGCATGACTACAGCCGTGGAGAAGGGAAGAGCTACAGCTGTCATCTGTCTGGACTTCTGCAAGGCCTTTGACACGGTCCCCCACAGCACCCTTCTCTCTGAACTGGAGAGAGATGGATTTGATGGGTGGCCTGTCCGGCGGGTGAGGAATTGGTTGGAGGGAAGTGGTCAGTGGCTTGATGTCCAGGTGGACATCAGTGACAACTGGCATCCCTCAGGGGTCTGTACTGGGA